ACATAACATAGATAATGTAGTGAAGGTAACATGGAAACATCACTGTGGGTGGTAGCTAAATGGCAGACAACTAAATTTCATTTTCAGTATGTTAGAAGCTCTCTTTTCTAATTCAGTAAGGAATGGTTGGTAGTCTGTTATTTAAAGAAAAAAATACCAATTAAAGCAGAGGATTAGAGAAACACATGAGAGCAAGAGGATGCAGATCGTAAATATTTTAACTGAAAATGTATGTGTACAGACATGTACATGCACATACACACAATGTACACATTTGAGTTTTTTATAAAAGGCAAACAACTTGTCTTTGACAATAGCTCTGCCTCCTGCTAGTTCTTGTCATATTTTTTGCATGAACCACATCCATTGTGCATCACCTACGATTTCTAGTTCTTTCTTTAAAGAAAAGTTTCAGGACAATATAATTGCTGTGCAGCCTACATGCAGGATTCTTCTAGGCTTTTATCATTTGTTATTTCTTTTATAGCTGTCTCTGCCTCATCTAAAATTAGAAAAGAATATTGCGGTAAAATATGGTAACATAAAACCTGCCTTTTGACCGGACAGGTCTGTGGCATCGGGCACATTCACAGTGTTGCGCACCCATCACCCCCTACTCATTCCCCAAACTCCCCTGGCATCCCAAACAGACACTGTACTCATTAAACAGCGGCTCCCCATTACCTGTTCCCCCAGCCCCCGGTAACCGCTCTTCTGTTTTCTAGTTCTATGAATTTGCCTCTTCTACATACCTCGGAGAAGTGAAATCACATAGTGTTTGTCCTTTTGTGCCCGCCTTATTTCCCTTAGCATAATGCTTTCAAGAGTCATCCAAGGTGTAAGATGTGTCAGCATTTCGTTCCTTGTTGATGGCTGAATAAAATCAGTGTATCTACTGATGGATGCTTAGGCTGCTTTCACCTTTCAGTTATTGCAAATAATGCTGCTGGAACATTAGTGTACAAGTCTCTATCCCAGTCCCTGCTTTCAGTTCTTGCGGGTATATGTTCCTAAGAGTAGAATCGCTGGATTATATGGTAATTCTATGTTTACTTTTTTGAGGAACCACCAGACTTTTACAAAAAAAAAAAAATTAAGCATATTGTCTTTATGAAGATTTTCTAAGGCATTCCACTTGGGTAAAAAAAGCAACAACTTCCTTTACTTTTGGTCCTGTATGTCATCAGTGTCTAGACCAGTTAATTAACTTGTATAATTACAAAATCAAGTCCAACTATCATACACAGGTTTAGAAACATATACAGTTGCTACCCACCATGTGTGCAACTCAACTGATGAGGCCAGACATGCTTGGAACTTTCTAGACAGGAACTTTCTAGCAATGAGCCCCAGCATTCAGTGGGCATCAGCTAATGCATATCACAGAACAGATGGAACATACTAGTTAACCTGGCCAGGTGTTAAGAGAGCTTCTAATATTCAACTAAATTTTCTTTGTCGTGTAAATATGTATAAAGAAATTTAGAAACAACAGTAACTGTACAGAAAACATCTGTATATTCATGACTGTTAACACTCAACATACTTGTTGGGAGATTAGGGAAAGGCAGAGACAGCAGGGCTAAAATAGAATGGGGAGTTGACCAATCTGGCCATTTTCGTATGCATTCTGGAATTTAAGAAAGGACTGATGGATAATAGCAGCAGGTTGATTTGCTTCCCTTATAGTTTAATTGAGCATGGGTGATAAATGGAAGGTAAACAGAGAATAAGGAGGTTGTGCCTATTCTTAGAAAGAAGATACCTTTGAAGTCGAGACCGGAGACTCTGAGATGTGATTACAACTTTTTCTAGCCAGTTCTGAAGCGAAATCAGGAAGCTGTGGGAGGTGTACTTTTAGATACCATCCTTCATCCTTGTTAGAGACCCACGTGATTAAGGTTTGGGAAGCTGCCCCCTCTAAGGATCAGCTTCAGGAACTGGGTTTATTTACCTGAAAGAGAGAGAGAGAAAGAGAGAGAGCGCGCGCGTGAGCGCGCAGGAGAGCGAGCATGCTGACAGAGCCTTAATAATAGTCTCCAGGACTATGAGGGACATTCTGTGAGTGATGGAGAGCAGCTGCTTCCTGTTTGCACAGAGGACAAGACCAGGAAGAATGGAATTAACCGCAACAAGTGCATTTAAGAACTCCTTGGCCAGAAAGTCCGAGACAGCAAACCCACAAGACCAAAGTCGCTTCCACATTTCAGAATTATGTAGCTGGCTAGGTGTCTTTCTTGGGTGGTTTAAATTGACTTGGCCTTGAACTAAGAAAAAGATATAGAGGACCTTTCACCCACGCGACCATACGAAGTTGTCCCTTGTCAGAACCTACCAGTGTTCATTCTGTGGCTGAGAAAGCACTTCTAATGAGATTTTACAAAGAAAAATGTTTCAGAATATTTTTTGTTCTTCTTTGGTTCATTTTTCAAGCAAGATCATCCAGATGTATTTGTTCTCTCTAAGGTGAAGAATTTCCATAGATTTTTCCAGTGTGTTCACTGCTTATTTGGTCAATGAAGTCATGATTTATTTTTTAAACTCTGTGTCTTCAGTGAGACTACATGTACTTATATTTATTATATTTGTATTTATACATGTGTATCAGATATATTAATATCTATTATGTATAATTGATTCGACAGTGAAAGCAATGCTTTGTTCTGGACAGTATGTCCAAGTGTTAAGGATATGAACATGAATAAGATACACATTGTGCTAATTAGGAGCAAAGCAGATCCACAAAACATTATAAAATAATACACCATTATAGGAGGTCAGCTAGGGGAAGAAATTTAAAGATAGAAGAGTGAGTTCTGGGTATGTTAGTCATTTTTAGGCAGTGAGGCAGATAGAAATGCCTGGAAGCTTCTCCACCATCATTTTATCGTTGTTATCCTAGGTTAGGTTAATTATACCATTTATTCTGAGTTGGTTAAGTGGTATCTTATTGGCCCAACTGGGAGTGTTTTCAAGGCGAAGTTTGATTTCCAGAGGGTTGGCAGCTGTTTGGTGTGGTGTTTAAAGGTACAGGGTCACGTCAGCCTTAACTTTGCATGCATTCCACATTTTCTATCTTCATCTTGTATGAAGAGTGATTATAATCTCATTAAAGGTCTTTGCCGTGGCCATTTCACGTTCTCTGTCTGGAAGAGGGTAAGGCGGGTGCGTGTCCCATCCCCAACCCCCATGACTCTGTGGCCCCAACTCCACGGTGCCGAAGTGGGGGAATAACAGGGTTGTTTTGAGATCTCTCTACCCTTGGTCACTGTGAGACATGGGACGTGCTACTTAACCTCTGAGAGTTCAGGTTTCTCAATCTGCTTTACAGCAGTGTTTTGAGAATTAAGTTAAATGAAATAATGTGTGCCAAGCCCAGGACCCAGCATTGCCCAGCCCTCAAATCATGTGCATTTGCTTCCTCTAATTCACAGAGAGCATCTCTTGCCTCCTGGAAGAACCTTACTGGATTCTCTCCACTACATGGGGTTTGTTGGACTTTAGCGGCAGGGTCTGGTAGGCGGGTTTGTCTGAAATTCATGCCGGCACCTCAGAGTCCAGCTGTATGAATCTCTTCCCTTGTGTAAACTTGCTTAATCCAGAAAAGAAGAACCACTGTACAATAATGCCAAATATTCTAGGGTGCATTTCTCGCCAAATGACCTGAGACAAATCGTATATACACACGGAAAAGAAGTGGATTTTAAAATCCATGGGAAGATTATGCATGTTTGTTTTACAAGGTTTAAAGGAGGGTAAATAAGTCTTCTAGACATTCAGATAGTCATTTAATTAAATCGAGCGCTGTGCTTTGAAATGACATCACATTGAAGACACGCTCCCTGAGGAAGCTTATGAACCTGCTGGGGAGACCGAGGCCATCTGTCTGAAACGACCGCGGAGAGTTAGACCGGGTGTCAGGAGGCCCGTGTAAAACAGCGTGCAGCCTGTGGCTCAGCGTGGGGAGTTAGTATCGCCCTAGGAGACTTAGGACCTCGCTGTGACTGGTCAGAAAACTCTGCATGGTGATTGCCAGAGGGAGGGGGCAGCGTGGGGGGTGAAGGGTGAAGGATGGAGACTGGACGACTTTGGGGTGGTGACCACGCCACACAGCGTACAGATGAGGTGGTGTAAAGTTGTGCACCTTAAACCTGGACAATTTTGATAATGTGTCACCCCAATATATCCAAAAACAAGAAAAAAAAAAACCATTGTCATCAAAAGACAGAATTTTTTTCAACCCCCTAAAATGTTCACTAAAATGCTGCAGAAATTCAAGAACCTACTGCAATTGCCTTTTATTTCTTTGAAATACATGCCTCCTTCTAAATCTCGGTGTTGCTTTCAGACTCTTGCTACACACTGGGCCAGACCTCTGCTGGCCGAATCCATTCTTAGTCTGCAGGATAGGGAATATCTTTATAAATCATAGCAAGTCACCCCGAGAGTAAAAATCCCAGCTTGGGACGTACCGCAGCAGCTGAGGCATGCGATGCTTTCCAATGCCAGTGGATTTAGGAACCGGGGTCAGGAACCTCCTCTCTTTATTAGCAGGAGATTTATAATCCAGGGGCCTGCGCAGGGTGAGTGTGGGCCCTCTGACCCGGATCCCTCCCCACACCCCAACTCCCCAAATTAAATGTCAGGAAACAGAATAACAGAACCATTAACTTCATAGTGTAGAATTTATGGCTGAAGTCTTGCAAAGTTTATGTCAGCAAAGTAAAATAATTACTGTCACTTTCTTTTAGACACTTGGCTTTATGGTTCCTGTCACCTTTATCCTAACACACAGCTGATTTAGTAGCACTGTGTTTCATGGCGAATGGCCTGGTGTGATGTTATTTCTGCACGTGGCTGTGCTCTCGCGAGGACACGGTGTGGATACCCTGGAGCAGAGCTAAATTTAGAGAGTGAGCTGAAATACTGCTCCGGGCTCTGGTTTTGTCCTGCTGTTCGTATGCCAACTGAGCTCTGTGCTTCACTCTTCCCTCTTCTAGATTCTCAAGGCCAAGGATGTAGCATCGCCAAACCAGCGCTACATCGACAGCAAAGTCGTGAAAACAAGAGCAGAAGGGGAATGGCTTTCCTTTGACGTGACCGATGCCGTGCATGAATGGCTCCACCATAAAGGTTGCTCCCGCACTCTGTTGCCCACCCCTACCGATGCCCCATGACCCGAAATTATTATCAGTTGACTGCAGATTGAAGGGCATAGATGTGCATGCAAATGACCTCCTTGACTTCATGTTTTCCAGACAGGAACCTGGGATTTAAAATAAGTTTACACTGTCCCTGCTGCACCTTCGTACCATCTAACAATTACATCATCCCCAATAAAAGCGAAGAACTAGAAGCAAGATTTGCAGGTAACTGAAGCTCAGTCATATGAGGTGGAGGAAGGGAGGGCCTATGTTGTTAATCTCGTGGGGAATGAAGTCAGTTCGCATGTGAAAGTGGGGTTGTTTGGGGAGGCCTAGGGAGTCTCACTGGTTTGGGCAAAGATATGGTTGGAGAGAGAGATGTGAAGGCAGAAAGGATTGGAGGGAAGGAATTGCTTCCTACTTGACGCTGTTCGATGCCCCGTGATGACCTGGCGATACGTACGGACTGACGGGACAACCCACCACTCTGTCTGATAGTTACGCTCTTCATTCTTCATTTAAGTGAGCCAGTTTTCCATCTGTGCTAATACTATAAAAGAAGGAGATAGCATGCATTTAAGGATGGCCCCAAAACCAGCATCAGGAACCCACAACTGTATTTCAGAGAAGAGGGAAGTCCCCTTGCTCCGCAGCCCCTTTAGTGACCCTCCTGTGCAGGCGAGCACGTCACGTTGACGAGCTGGTGTCCAGTATTTTGCGCGTCTTCCTCATCAGACTTGTATAATAGTTTATAAACTCATAACAAGGTTGTCGTTTCCCCCAGACCCTTCCTCACCTGTTAGCGAATTAGCCAAAAGTCAAGGACAGCGAGGAGATGCCCACAGTGTAGACTTCCCTCTCCTCTCTCATCTTCCAGTGGCATTACAATGTCTTTTTTTTTCAACCCTTCCCCAAGGATATGTTTTTTATAGATTTCAGAGAGAGAAACATCTATGTGCAAGAGAAACATCGACTAGTTGCCTCGCCTATATGTGCCAACTGGGAATCGAACCGGCCACCTTTTGGTGTACGGGACAGTGCTCCAGCCAACTTAGCCAGCTGGCCAGGGCCAATGGCATGTTAGATAATGAGTCATTGGAAGGTGAGAGGGAGAGAGGGAAGTAGGTGCCGTGTGCGGGCACAGCACCACCCGGTCAGGGAGCCAATTTCCTTTCCCTGAGTGACACCGCCCACGTGCAGAATGCTACAGGGGCCCCAGCTCATGGAAAATTCCTCCCAAGGCTCAAGAGATTTATTTCAGTCTCTAACCTCATCAGGATTCCCTCTGGTATGGAGATTAAATGCTTAAACTGGCAGTTTCCTACGAGTGCTTGGGGGCGCTCGAGTTTCTAAATCTCATATGGAATCAGGAAAGTGTTAAGGATGTCATAAACTAAATGAAAAAGCCCTTTCTTCCCAGCCTCCCCAAATAGCATTAGGTTCGGGCGACTTCTGTTTCATTGGAACCTAATTCACTGCAATGTAGTGTCAGTCTTAGTTTATGTTCACTAGGAGAGGCTGTTGTGTTCAGTGGTCCCAGGAAGAGAGCGAACCTGCGGCAGACGAGGCAGGGTCTGCTGTTTGTTGTGTGTTCGATCGTGGAAGGGTTTGAACACAACCTGAACTGAGGACTGACTCACATTAACTGCCTCGATTGCCGTGGGGCTAGAGGTCAAAGACCACTTCTGTAGTGATTTTCATAACCAACAAGCCCCATCTTGGACCCTGAACGGCTTCTGACAAAAGCCCCATTTAGGAGTGTTGGTTGTCCTGCTGTGCCATAGCTGTTTCCATGGGGAATGACTGTTGCCAGTCATCACTGCTATTTGTGACAATATAAAAAAAAAAAATAGGGCTGATAATATTTGATGAAGGTAAAGCTAAATGTTTATTACCCAAATGCATTTTTTCAAGGTATTGATGGCACCTCCACATATACCAGTGGTGATCAGAAAACTATAAAGTCCACTAGGAAAAAAAACAGTGGGAAGACCCCACATCTCCTGCTAATGTTGTTACCCTCCTACAGACTTGAGTCTCAACAGTCCAACCGGCGGAAGAAGCGCGCCTTGGATGCAGCCTATTGCTTTAGGTAAAGAAAACAGAAATAAAATGAAGTAATTGCATCTGGTCACTCTTGGGCCGCCTTTGCCCATTCTTCGAGTATAGGTTGACTTGACCTGCACTCACTGCTAAAGGCCAGGCATAGAGCAGGGTGGCCATCACATTTCCTAACATCATTCTTCCCAGAGGCTTAATAGGGTTATTTCTGTGTTGTATTCACCATCTCCTAACCTCCCAAACCCGAAGCCCTTTGGGGCAAAAGAAGAAAATAAGCTCTCCGCTCCCCAGAGCAAGTGGGCGTTTATTTGGAAGGCATCATGGCGGCTGTCTTGTTAGGGAGACTCGCCACCTGTATGAAGCCTTTGTCCTCACGGCACAGCGCCCATGGTCATAGCGCTTTTGCCAAAATGGAGACGAGGGAGACGGGAGAAGAACGCTCTTTATCATGTCTTTAGCTACAGGCCATGCCAGAAGTGAGGGCAACACAAGTTTATTCCCGTTCCCATGTGAGTCCATACAGGGAGAGTGTGAGTGTTCTTCCGGGGTTTCTTGTCACGCCTGCTAAGAGGCAGGCTCCTTCTCTACTGCCAGAGCTGCGGGCCCATGGGGGGCCCTCCCTGATCAGGTGTGCAAAGCGTCAGTTCATGAGGGACATGGCACTTTGGGGTGGCCAGGGTCAGTGCTGGCACTAAGCAAGACTCGAGCCGTGCTTCGTGCTCGTTGGTTCATTCCTAGGTCAAAAAGCATGAAATGAAATAAAGGGTTTATTTTCAAAGGAAAATGCCTGAGACGGAGCTTTGAAAATAGCTCTTGCAATTCATCATTTTATATTTGAGGCTGGATGACCATGCTGTGCAGTGTTGGTTGGGAAGAGGTTGGTCTCCATCAACCACCTCTCTGCTTATATCAAAGCAGAGAAAGGCCTGATTTTCAGTCACAGACAGGGCTCAGGGTATAGACTTAAAAAGGGAAAGTCATCCCAGGAAATCACCCTAATACCCTATCATGAAAGTCACTTAGATGACAGTAAAACCATTAAGACCTGGCCACATATTTGCTTATAGGTATTTGCTGAATAAATGAATGAGTCACTCTTCTGGTTGGGGTGAGGGGCAGGGGGGAAATCAGGTTTAAAATCTCCGTTGCTCTTCTTTTAACAGAAATGTGCAGGATAATTGCTGCCTTCGTCCACTTTACATTGATTTCAAGAGGGATCTTGGGTGGAAGTGGATCCATGAACCTAAAGGGTACAATGCCAACTTCTGTGCTGGGGCATGCCCATATTTATGGAGTTCAGACACTCAGCACAGTAGGGTAAGCAGCTGGTCGACTTGTTTCTTCTATTCTTGGGGTGTTAATGTATATCTGCTGATGGCATTTGACCCTTGAACAATGCAGGGGTTAGGGACACTGACCCCCTACACACACAGTCAAAAATCCACGTATAACTTTTGACTCCCCCCAAATTTAACATCAGTCATCCCTGTAGTCCTCAGGGTATTTGTCCCAGGACTCTTCACAGACATCGAAACCTGCAGACCCTCCTGTCCCTTATGTAGTACGCAGTGGGGCAATGCCTACTGTTGGCCCGCCCCATCTGCGACTGGTTGAATCTGCAGATGCAAAACTCCGGGGTATGGAGGGCCAACTCTATATGTGTTGAAAAAATTGCATATAAGTGGACCCATGCTGTTCACACACGTGTTGTTCAAAGGTCAACTGTATTTCCAGATGAATTCTAATTGTCCTGGTGCCAGGTGGTAACATCAGAAGAAAGAACATTGAGATTTCAGTAGATGCTTGGGCCAAGTGAGTCACTAGCGCCTGAGAATTAGGGTCACTTCTTTGAACCTCAATTCTTATCAGTCAAAATGAATGTCTCCGCTAAACATCATGTCTTACATAAATAATGCCGAACTTGAGAGTTAATGTGAAGAACAAAAGGGTGACCTGTGAGGACTGAAGGCCAATTCAGAAGGTAGGGCTTAGATTGCGTGCCAGGGATTCCCAACCCGGATTTTCTGTGTGACAATGATATTTGTCCAAATGCTTCTTCCTGGCGCCTGATGATGAAAGGGGCTCCATCGGTCTCTTGTCCAAACCCATCACTTTTCCAGAGAAAGGGGAGTCTATGTCAGGTAGGTGGCTTGCCCAAGATCGGACAGTTGGTGACAAACCCAAGCTTGGAGGGCCGAGTCCTTGTTTCATAACTAGGCCCCGGTGGGCCGCGTCTTACGGAACCTGGCTCCTGACGCGCGGCTGCCGCTGGGTTACGCCTCGGTGAATCCCCTCGTTAAAGGGGCACTAGAAAAATGGCCTTCCCTGCAGCGCAGCAAATGAATCTGCCCACACGATCACAAAGCGCATCTGGCTGCCCTCAAGAGTTCCAGGGTTATCAGTGCTTTTGGACAATCCACACTTTCCCAACTCCTCTTTAATTCCTATGAAAAATCACGCGTTCATGGAGCATGAAGTCCATTTATTTATAAATGCCTCCATATGCTAGGCTTTAAATGGACGAATATGCCACACACACACCCCCTCCCCCCCGCCCCCTGCCTTCAGCTGTTTTCCCAAGTCCCCTGCAGATTTCGGCGCCGGGAGCCGGCCGCGTGCTTGGCCCCGTGAGAGCGGCGTGCTCAGGCCTGTCCCTTTGTCCGAGCGCCGCGGCCGGGCGGCCTCCCCGGGCACGTAGTGCGGGCACGCCCCGCTGCCAAGTAGAAACATAACTCCCCCTCCCAGGCACACAGAGGGAGTGTGTGAAGGCAGAGGCCGCACTTGTTTTGCAAGGAGAGAGGAAGAATAACTGTCATGGTCACAAATATGTGGTTTGGACGGCTACCCAAGAAGCAAGAGGTAGCTTAATAAAGTAGTCAGTGTTGCCGCGCTGAACGGGTCTTCTGTCTCGGGCTGAAAAAATTGCAGTGAATCTCGAGGAAAAGGTCACTTGCTGTTTGCCTAGCACATTAACGGCATCCTTGGAAATGACCGTCATCGCCGGGGAACCTGCATACTTCCCCTGGTCAGAGTGGCGGTCCCCTTTGAGGAAGGACGGGGTGCCCGGTCCGGGGCCGCCCGCCGAGCTTCCTCCTCCTCCTCCTCCTGCAGCCCGGCTGGCCCTGGAGAGCTCAGAGCAGGGCGGGTCCTTGTTTTGCTCATCGTGTGAAGCCAAATGTAAGGCAGCGAACAATGAAGACACAGGTTGCTTTTGATGTCACGTTTATGAAGCAACGATGAATGAAAAGACTTTTTTCCTGTTTATTTATTTATTGAATTTATTTGAGGGACACTGGTTAATAAAATTCTATAGGTTTCAGGTATCTAATTGTGTAGGACGGCCTCCATACATTGGAGTGCGTGTTTACCACCCTTACCATCTTCCCTTCCAAATGGAAATTTAGGTGACATTAAATTGGCCTGGAAAGACACTTAGCATAGAAAGATTTCACACAGCAGACAGGTTTTTTTTTTTTTCTCCCTATACCTAAGGATAGACTAAAACTCTGATAGAAGTATTAGTAAAAAGTTTTGTTCTTCTACTTCCCCACATATGCATTTCTTCACCTTACACATGAGTCTTATTTGTCCAGAGAACAATTACTAGGGCTATAAGGTAAGAACAAAGTCCGCAGAGCTCCTAACTCACAGGAACGCTCTCTCTGACAGGAATGGAGAACATACACTCATGAAACAACTTTAATTACAAAGATGTGTAGAGACAACACCAAATACTAAGGAAACTATTTTTTTTTTTTGAAAGCCTGAAATGTATATACAGCAAAGCAGTGATCAACGTTAGAATTTATTGGAACAACTGTAAAATCTGTCAAATGAGCGATTTTGTCCAGTCTGACTTTTAAAGAATCACTTGTTTATCATGTATGAAAAAAAGGATTCTGTGGGAAAATGATGAATTCATTGATTACTAGGGACACATACCATTTTGAGCAGGATTGGGAGCTAAGAAAAGGAAATAGTAAACCAAAAATTATTTAAATTGTTCATTCAGGGCTATGACTGATAAGGTAAGAATAAGGAATGAATCTTTAAAAATTAATTGCCTTTCTTTGTCGTCGTTGTCTTTTCTCTCTGGTGCCCTTCCAGGTCCTCAGCTTATATAATACCATAAATCCAGAAGCATCTGCTTCTCCCTGCTGCGTGTCCCAGGATTTAGAGCCGCTAACCATTCTCTACTACATCGGCAAAACACCCAAGATCGAACAGCTTTCGAATATGATCGTAAAGTCTTGCAAATGCAGCTAAGATTCTTGGAAAGGTGGCAAGACGCTAATCCCATGAGGATGATGATGATGATGATGATGGTATGACAACAATAGCAATGAAACATGAGAGAGCCTTGCTTCATCAGTGTTAAAAAAATTCTTTGAAAAAGCGGTACTAGTTCAAACACTTTGGAAGTTTGTGTTCTGTTTGTTAAAACTGGCATTCGAAACAAAACAAAAACAAAAAAACAAAAACACGTTGAAGGCTTTATTCTCCATTTCGCCTATTCTGTAAGTGAGAGAGACAAGAAGCAAAACCTTTTTTTTTTAAGAAAAAAATAAACACTGGAAGAATTTGTTAGTGTTAATTATGTGAAAGAAAAAAAAAAAAACCAACAGGAAAATCCCGTTAAGTGGAGTTGCTGTACATACGTTCCTAATCCCGGGCCTCACTTGATTTTTGTGTATTGCTATGCAATAGGCTCCCTCCCCGTTTTTACTCTTAGAGTTAACAGTGAGTTATTTATTGTGCGTTACTATATAATGGACATTTCATTGCCCTCGGAAAATAAAACAGGTGTATAAAGTGGAGACCAAATCCTTTGCCAGAAAACTCACGGATGGTTTAAGGAACTTGAACTCAAACGAGCCAGAATAAAAGAGGTCATATGGACGGGATGAAACCCCAACTGTGGCTGAGCAAGTGGGTGTTAAGATACAGACCCTGAAAACCATGCTATGTACCAACTGCCTAAGGAAGCTTCTTGTAAGGTTCAAAGCTGACAAGCCTGTTAATAAAGGAAACTTTCAGTCAGAATAAGTCTGTAAGATTTTTTTCTTCTTTTTCATTGTAAATGGTTCTCTGTCAGTTTAGTCCACCAGTGAAATGTTGCAATGTTTTGATACATACTCACCACACTGCAGACCTAGAAGTTGCTGTCTAGTTATGCCGTAAGTTTTTCCTAGTTTCCGTATATGTAACCATACCTATATTATTCCAATAGATGGGTGTAGAAGCCAGTATAATTGGAAACACATCTGCAAATTTTTTTTTTTTGCAAACTATTAAATCAAAACATTAACTACTTTGCATGTAATGTGTAAATTTTAACCATATTTTTAATGTTCTGTAATAATGTCAACTCTGATTTAGATTGGACTTAAATTTGGGCTTTTTATTTTAATCACTCAGAACTGTGTTTCCTTTAGCTGGCTAGTACTTTTGAGTAAAGCCCCTAGATTTTGACTTGCACTAAAAATACATGTTTTATAGTATTTGCTCCACTGTGCTTTATAAATTGTCCATTGTTATGACATAAGCTACCGAGTCCACCTGTCCTTTTTCCTTTTACAGAAAAGATATATTTGAGTTCAGTTGTCTTCCTTCATCATCAAAGCATCATTACTGATCGCGTCAGGTGTTAAAAAGCTTCTGTTCTAGGAGAGTTCGGAAATAATGCAGGTACAGAGACAACTGAGGTGAAATGCTTTAGCCTTAGCGAGGGCTGAAGGGTCTGACTGAAGCTGGGTGGCCGGGTACAGACAGGTTTCTCCTCCTGGTTCAATCCGTATTTGTACAGAATCCTATTGTTACCAAAAGCAGACAGTTCGTAGGAAACATCTTTTATTTTAACTAGGCTTTTAGTGTTCAGGGTTCAATAGAAAGATTTACCTTTTCATTGATTTTTTTTTTTAAGGAAAAAAATACAGGTCAGTATAAGTCATTTAGTTTATTTCACTGAAATTAAGGTTCTTATAGACATTCTAGGAAGGTTGAAAAGGCACAAACCAAATTCTCCCATGATCCAAAACTGCAGTTTTTCCCTGCGAAGGAGAGTTCTCTAGGTCTGAGGCTAGAGTTTACTTTGCTTTAATAAATGATCTGCTACATGATTGCTGAGGAGGAACCTGAAGTCAGAGTTTAGCTCTAAGATAAAAATTCATAGGTCAAACAATGGAATCTTTGCAGCTTCGTCTAAAAAGCGGCACAGTGAGGTAAATCCAAGTGAAGGTGTTTGATGTAGTAAACGTCTTTTTTTTTTTTTTAAATTTCCTGACCATTAATGAAAGGGATGAATTGGATTTATAAGTTTGAAAACTGGAAAGGCAAGAGATGGAAAGCCACAGAGTGAACAACCCTTGTGGCAGATGTAACCCAATCCCACATTTGAGTGTGCTGATTTATTTTCTCTTCCACTTTTCTATGAATTCTATGTAAATCACTTTTATTTCTGCAGGTATTTTCCTCTCAGATAGAAATGACATTTTGTTTTGTATTATTTTGTCTTTCCTCATGAATGCACTGATAATATTTTAAATGCTCTATTTTAAGATCTCTTGAACTTTTTTTTTTTTTTTTTTTTTTTTTTTTTTAGTTTGGGGGTTCTATAAGGTCTCTATTTCCCATAAGTAAATACTGCCAGGGGAGGGGCGCGGGGGAGGGGATGGGGAAATGTTAGTACGCGGGGTGGGGGCGGGGCAGTTTTTATGTGTTAAGCAGCAGTACAATTTTATGGTTGGCATGGTTTAAAAAAAATGGAATATAAGAATAGCTGTTTTGTATTTTGATGACTGATTACGCTGTATTTTAACACAATGTATGTCTGTTTTTGTGGTGCTCTAGTGGTAAATAAATTATTTCAATTTCATGTCGATGTGTTTTTCCTGCCGTGGCACCACGGCCGAGACCAGAGGACCCCTCTAGAGCAGTGACAGTGAGCCCCCGCTGGAAAAGCCCGGCCGTCTTTAACACGGTGCCCTTTGGGGTTTGGGTTCGGTTTTATTTCTCCCTCCAGGATCCACGCTTCAGACATGGCACGCTTTGCTGCGCGAGAGCCAGGACTTACCTACCAAGAACTGAAGAAAGTCCTGCGCCGTCTTTTCATTCTCTTGTTTATTGCTCTTTGGTAATTGTTTGAAATTCCGTTTCCATCCAGCTTGCCTGTCTACCAGAAAAAAGGCAGGGAGATGCTTGGCCTGGGCTTTGGCGCTCTGGTTCTCTGTCCTGCCAACCCCGGGGCCGAAAGCATCGGTCTAGACAGTATCCCCTGTAGTCCCGTAACTTGGACGGTCGCTGAGCCAGCCAGATATAACAAGAGCCACGTGCTCTCGGGCTTGGTCTCCGGGAGCCGCTGCTGCTCGCCGCATTTCACCCATACCACCGCACCAAAAAAACCCTATTTCCACACACTTCCCTGCCTGTTTCCTGCAAGGCCAGACTTTGCAAGGGACTTGCCAAACTCTTAATAAATAGCACAAATTAAAAAAAAGTGGTTGTGGCTCCATCTGGTTGTCTCGCTTTATCTAATGAAAGAACCAATCTGTACCTGCTGTCTAAACAGCACAGAGAAGCAAGGAGCAAACCACGGGCGCACGTGTTTAGGGAGAACAGAATACGGCTCCCTTTCCCACCATCTGTCTTTCAACTTTCATACTCAGCGCAGAGAGGAAGGGTTTCGCTGTAAAACACCGAGCCCACGCTTCTCCGCAGAGGGCCCGCGCCAGGCTGATGGGCGCAGACCACGCCCCCTTGTCGGCCACTCCGAACCTCTGTGTCTTTATCTTGAAATTGAGGAGGAGGCTCCTGGCCTTCCAGGGTTTTGTGTGTTCAGTTGTGTTGTTGTTAAGTAAATAGCATTTATATTTTTTATAAAATACTTTGCTTAGTGTTTGGCCCGCCGTTGACGATGAGGAAATGGCAGTCTTACCGCTATTTCCCATCCTATTCTGTGTCTGGCTTGTTGGTGACCCTGTTGCAATGGGCCCTTTCGATTCAGGCCGTGGCCTGGGCCCACGCTTCTCCGTCCTGGTACTGAAGGTGTGACCCCACCTAGTTACTAACCTCATAAATGGATCAGGCCACCAGTTATTCCTGAGAATATTCTGTGACCCTGTTTGTTAACCTTTTGGTTACACGACTGACCAGAGATTGTTTAAAACAGCTGGGAAATGTTCACGTTACACGTTGCTTAAGTCCACCAACTGAAAGTCCAAGTAAAAGAGACCAAGTGGCCAGGTGAAAGGCGTGTTTCCTAAGATGCTGATAATAGTAACCGAGGTTTGCCGAGCGCCTACTAGGTGCGGTTCTCTGTTAACCTAGTTAACCTCACGTTTGACCCTATGATGTAGGCATTTAAAAAATATATAACTCCATTTTACAAGAAGAGAGCAGGCTCAGAATGGTTAAATTACATGTCTAAGGTCACGCTGTTAAGAGGAGGGTCTTGAACTTCTTGTCCAGACACTAGCTACCAGCCTTACGTGGTTGTCAAGCAACTGAACTACAAAAACACGGCTCATCCGAACTGAGATACACTCAGGTGTGAACCACACCTCGGCTTCTGAACACCACAACAACATAGCAAATGCCTCATTAATTTTTATATTGGTTACATGTCTAAATTAGACTTTTTGATAGGCTTATGGTATTAAAGTATATTACTAAAATTAATGTCTCCTGTGTCTTTTTACTTTTGTGGTAATTACCAGAAAATTTAAAATTACGTATGTGGCTCGCTTATCTACATGAGACTTTCTGGTTCTTTTTTTTCTTTTAAGAATCAAAATTACAAGTACAAAATTAGATTCAGAGCCTTAGAAAGGGCCCGTAAAAGCAAAAAGCCACGACACTGTAAGCTTCAAGGGTTCGACTGCAAATCGGCCTCTGGGGTTTACACTAACACATGCCTGTGTTTCTATTAGACTGTTACCCTGTGATTCCAGCAATAGCTACACCCTGTCTCTATTGCTAATCTACGAAGTCAGTTGTTCCTGGTCCCTCCCCTTCTCATTTCTGCCACCCCATGTTCTATGCCGAACAAAGAAAGATAAGACCCTGGTTTTACTGACGTTCTGGGCCAGAGGCAATAGAGAAAATGTGATTTTTATACCTCTTCTAAAACATTGCAACCAGGTCTGATGGGATTGGAGAAATCATTAATAGGAATATTAGATCATGCCAGCAGGAGAAATGAACTTTACCATTTTTGAGTGAAAGGATTGCTTTAGGTTTTTCCTTGATTGTGCCTTTATTTCCCTAAAATATTCCGTAGTTGGTTTGTTTAATTCAGCAAGTAATGGCTGTGTGGAGGGAAATTGAATGTGTTCCTGTAACTGGGCCGAGGCCTAGTAAAAGGAACAGAACGTACTGAGGGAGACTGTGCTCTGTGATCAAAATGAGAAAAATCATTCAGCCCGAGAGAACAGACATAATTAAACAGCAAGGCAAAACATTAGTGGTAAAGAAAAAGGCTCAAAATCATCTCTCAGGCTTTTCCGCCAAAGTGGATTTTTTCTCTTCCGCAGATGCCAGCCTGACTAAGAGAACACAGATGTAACACTCAGGGGACATCATAAAGGTCTGGCCATCCCTGGCGGTAGAAACCCTCTCCTCAGGCCCAAACCTCCCCTCGGAACCATATAGAAAGTTCTGCATCTCAGGACGCTGGGCGCAAACACTCTAAGGATTTCTGTAATCCGATTCTGCTCGCGAGGCGGTGTGAAGTCATGGAGTTTGGCTCATCCCCAAACATGGGTGGAACACTAATTTCTTCATTTGAAATGAAGTTAAATTAAACAGGACTCAGAAAACTGAGCAGAGCTCTAAAGCAAGCGGTGGGGGTTCAGCTGATGAAACACGGAATCTCAGGTCATTACAGGTCCATCTCCCCCTCGCTCCGGTGCTGGTGTTCCAAGAAACTGTCGGTGGCGTTCCGAGTCCTAAAAAAGGGGAAACACAGGTATAAGCCAGTGCAGTTGGCCCAGAGGAGCCCCAGGGAGGCCTGGCAACCCCTGGACATGGCCTGCCTGTCGTTGGCTACAAGGTGGAATCATTCCTGTAGGGTTTCCCGAAGGAGAGGTATACGTTCCTGTACAGTCACGCGTCGTTCAACAGCAGGGATGTGTCCCGAGAAATGCGTTGCTAGGTGATGTCCTCACTGTGGGACGGGCGTGGCGCACACACCAGGATGGGTACCTGACACTCAGACCCCAAGGGAAAATAGCACCGACAGCCTTACTCCATGCAGGGTTGCCCGGGTCTTCCATTTGTTAAAGAAACCCCATGTCTGCACAGTGCCATACAATGAGGTTTACCTGTGTGCGTGTGCATGTGATTTTTAAATTCCAATATCATTAGCAGCTGAGCACAGAAAGCAATTCCAACCCAAAGGCACCAGGATTGATTTATTTTTCAATTATAGTTCACATTTAATATTATTTTGTATTAGTTTCAGGTGTACAGAGTAGTGGTTAGACAATCATATACTTTACGAAGTGTTCCCCTGATAGTTCCAGTACCCACCTGGCACCATAGTTACTACAATACTATTGACTGTATTCTCCTTGCTGTACTTCACCTCCCTGGGGCTATTTGTAACTGCCAGTTTGTACTTCTCAATCCCATTGCCGCGTGCACCCAACCCTCCCCACCCCCATCCTGCCTGGCAACCTCTATGCTTATGAAGTGAAGGGATCGATTTTGATTTATTGACTCTTGATCAGGGGTGTAGAATAGTGAGACTAGCGAGCACGTGTGAAAGGGAGGTGGGGACACAGGGAAGGGGACAGGGAGGGGCATGGGGGACACGGAAGCACCTACTTTACGTGCAGGGCACATTTAGTCAAGAGTCTGATGTCTATGTATAACACCGAAGTGACTAAACAAATGTCGTGAGAAAGACAGAACAAATTGGTCAGTCGGGCGTAACCTCCAGCAAAAGATTCGAAGGAGGAACCCCACTGTGCCGTAGTCTTTCATAGGGTCTTGAAGAGCCAAGCGCCAGCTGCATAAATGAGGTGACTGGAAAAGTGCCTCTTTGTCCTCTGTCTCTGCCCTGCTGTGCTGGGGTTTGGGAACCGGTCCCATCCCACCCCCGGGGTCTTCCTCAGAACTGGGAGCTGTCCTGGTCTTGGCTTCCTATTCTGAAGCAGCCCTTACTGACCCTGTGTTGCCAGCACCTACCTGTACATAATTTAGCTCCATCATGTGGCAGTTTACCGAGTGTTTGGTAAATGGAGGGAGGGCAGGTGATGGACTTACAGC